GAGAGAGAGAGAGGGAGGAGAGACGCAATTTTTCGTAACGCGATTTCGAGGCGAGGCCCGACTCTTCTCGCGTACTCCTTGCGCCGGGTTGACTGGTCAGGAGGGCGTACGTGGCCGGCTTATAAGTTAGCCAACGTCCCAGAAGAAAGCCCCGTGGTTAATCTGTTCCGCGTTCCCGCTTAATCCACCGCTCTCGCGAGATACATGGCCCCCTCTAATTACCCGGGCTATGATCTTAATGGACTTGGAAATGCCAACCGCGTCAGTTCCACCGCGTGCAAATTACGCGAACGTGGAACGACTCTTTAATCGCGAAAAACTCGCCTCGGATACGTGTCTCAAATGCGAAACATCCAAATTATCGTCACCCGTCTCGGTTAAGCGAAATGATGAAAGATCGTCCCCCCCCCCCCTCCCCGTGATTCACGACGAGAGAAGTTCGAGAAAAATGGAATTTCGATCGGGCGCGAATTTGATTTCCTATTCGTGTGGGTTAAATTAATTTTCGTTCGACGGAATCGATAATGGGCCGCGGTATTAGAATCGTGGTTTCTCTCGTTTCGGGGAGGGTTGGCAGCGGTGGACGACAATAACGTCACTTACGGTGTACGTAGCGGAATCGTCCATTGAATTAGAGTGCCCGCGGCGTTTCCGAGACAAGCGGACTCCGCTCTCAGCTTTTGGGCCAACGATCGTGACGCGGGTCACGACCCTATCGGCGGCCGTCTCCTCCTCGATTCGCTTTCTCCGCGCTCAGGAATTAATTGCACGCCGGTTCGGCTTTGAATAGCCACTCCAAGTCCTGCGCCTCTCGCCGGGGGGACACGTCGCCGCTACCTTCTCTTCCCACCGTTCTTCCCTCTTCTTCCCTCTTGCCCAGGTATCGCGCGGTCATCGCGGTAAAAACGGAACCGCAAAATTTACCCGTCCTTGCTAAACCCGATCCACCTTAAAATTCACCGATTACCGCCCATTCTCTCTCTCTCTTCCCCGTTAATTTTCCCCCCGAATCAACGTAACGAGATTTCTCTCCCCGCAACGATGATTCGATATGATCCTCCTCCTCCTCCTCCTCCTCCTCTTTCGGGAGGATCTGTGATTAAATCGGCAAAGAATCGCTAATTTTCATCGATTTCTCTCTCTCTCTTTCTGCGAGCGCGACGAAAAATCCATCGAAACGGGGAAATTAAACGAAATTAAACTTGTTTGTTGTTAAAATTGATGATAAAATTTTCCACGCTCCACGAGAAATAAACGCGTGCTCGCGAAATCGGATGGAAAATAAGATTCGTCAGTTTCGTCGGTTACTCCACTGGATTCCGTAACGAGTTCCTATTCCAGCCTGCTCGAGAACTCGACTTGGCTAAGTCGAATGCTAAATACCCCACTTCTCTCGTTTCCTATTTTTCTTTTTGGACGAAGCGACGCGCGTATTCGTTCGTTTCTTCCTCTTCTTCTTCTTCTTCTTCTTCTTCTCTTTTTTCGCCGAGAGAATCGTAAAAGTCGATCAAAAGCCCCGATCGAAGGAGGAACGAAGGATCAATCGACCAACGAAACGAAAAGATTCGTCGGAAACGCATCCTTTCTCCTCCCACCGATTTCCCCTAATCTCTCGACGACATATTCGCGGTCGAGGGAGGAAACGGAGAGAGAGCGCGATACAAAGATACGATTCTTCTTCGGGACAGAGTTTTTTACTCTCTTGGAATGTAACTCGCTTCAAAAAGCGTTCTTCTCGCGTTAAAAGCGTTCTCTACTCCCAACAAATTCAACGTCTCCCTATCTCTTTGCGCGTGGAACGACCATTTCATCGTCCTTTTCTCGCGTGCGGTGCGATTCGTTTCTCAGGGACAATCGAAGAAAGGAAGAAGACACGAGGAGATGATAGAAAACGCGCGATCCCCGCGATTTAATCGGATTCGAGGCGATCGAACAGAACTTTTCCCTCCAACCAAATTGTTCCTAGGACGATGCGCGAGGAGAAGAAGAAGAAGAAGAAGAAGAAGAAGAAGAAGGGGGCCACGTGACGGACACGTATACGGAGGAGTCGTTATCTTATCCTCCGTATAGTCGGTCGGTTGTCCGGCCAGGTAGGCGGTTAACTCGTATCTGGTCACGCCACCGGTTAAATTCCCCCTTGCGTACTTATCGCGAATTAAAGCGCTCCTTCAAAGGAGCGGCGGAGACACGGAAAGGTGAAGCCGCGTCCTTATATTATCGCGTTCGGATGAGTTTCACGCGACCGCGCTATACCGTCGCTCGACATTAACGTTTCCATTATACGATTACGACTTATCCGCTCCTCCCCCATCCATTATTTCCCTCTTGATCTCATCCTCGATACGCCTCTGATAACCCTTCGCTTCCTCTCCCGTCCTTTTTAGACACGCCGTCTCTTTTAACGGCAAGGCAACGTAACGAAACAACCATATTCGAAATCGAATACGAAACGAAAACGATTTATTCGATTCCCTTCCGAGGACTCGACAATTCGTTGGTTGAAGAGTGATCATGGGAGGGGAGGGGGGGCGTGCGTGAGTAAGCGTTGCTAGATATCGAGGAATATAAGCGGCGAACACGGGATATCTTGGCAGGATAGCCTCGGGCCGGACAATCCGGATATATATATATATATAAAAGCGCGCCTCCCCCTCGTCCAGTATCTTCGTCCCCTCCGTAGGCGAGGCTACCCGAGGCGATAAATTCATCCGACGCCCGATAAGAGGGCCCGATTTTTGTCTTTACGAGCGTTCCCCACCCCGCGAGAAAAGAGGTGGAAATATAAGGGTGGTTTTCGGGTGGTTATGCCGTGACCCCACCGGCTATTGCCAAGGGAAAGGAAATAATGTGCTCGCGAGGCACATTCTCCCCCCCCCCCCCTTAGGAACGCGTGGCTGGTGAGGCGCGTAAAAAGCGCGCGCGTAAAGATCGCGTTGGTGGAGAAGGGAAGGAA